ACTGTTTAGTTATTAGATTAACTAAGCTGCTGGAAAACATATTTTGGTGATTTAAAAAATATACCTAAAATAACTTTTAAAATTGAGCTACTTAATGAGTTAAATAATAAAATGGCAGCAACAACTATAATGGTTACAAGACAAAAGTTAATACAAAGTCAATGAATGTAAGAAATATATAGATAAAATGGAGGATTTAGAATATTAAGGTACTAATGCATTCCAATGACTAGAAAGAACCAAAATAATGTCCTCAATATATTTCTTTAATAAGATCATATAACAACTGATCTTTGAAGTCTGACAACTCTTTTCACCTCTCATTAACTACCACTATACTCCCTGCTGTTTGCTGTGTTAATCTATGACATTATCCAGCCAAAGGCCTATATACTTCATGCCTGAGCTATTCAGCTGCCCTTTAAATCCATTCCACGCCATGGAATGGAACTGTTTTCTCCAGATGGCCTCCACTTCCTATAAATAAGCATTCAACAGTGTTGTGACTTGCTACAAAAAGAAAATATTTCTTCTCTCTTTCCCTCCCATTAAACTAAGCATTCCTGTTCCTGTTTCATTAAGACGATGGTAACATTCTTCTAATTTCAAAGCTTTTTTATCTCTCCCGTCTAGGTAGGTCACATGCAGTTACATCCCAGTGTTCTTCTATTTCAAATACAGTGTTTTCATTCTCAAGGAGCCAATCCCTGGACACCTAATAGAAATAATAATACCCTACGGCCTCACTAGCTAACGGCCATTGACATCGAAGGCACTCTTCTTAGAGCTTTAGGTGTATCAATTCACTTATCTTCTCAACTACCCCAGGAGGTCAGTACTATTTTCATCACCTTTACACAGATAGGAAACTGAGGCACAGGGAAGTGACCTATTTCGCCCAAGTCATAGAACTAGCAATTAGAAGTGCCGGGAGTCCAAACCGGGAATCAAAAAAAATCCGAATCAAGTTGACTCCTCCAATGATGATAAAAAACAAAGTAGGAATTTATAGATACAGGAATAAATAGAAGGATGTATTTCACATTTGAGGTGCCTTTTTACTCACATCTTGTGTTATAATGATTTTTTTTATCCTAGCTTGGTAGATGGCCAGATATCATAATCGTACGCTGCTTTCATTTTTTATTCTATCCATAAAGTCACATACTTATATTGTGGATGGACTTCAGTTTCTCTAATTTAAACTGAGATGCACTTTGGCTTGGCACCTCATTAAGCTGGAATAAGAACTAATATTGTGAAGTCCGTAAATCCTTTAAAGATTTTATTTTTACATAGCATATTTTATTTTAAAAAATCTTTATTGTTGAAAGTATTGCCAAAACCGGTTTGGCTCAGTGGATAGAGCGTCGGCCTGCGGACTGAAAGGTCCCAGGTTCGATTCCGGTCAAGGGCATGTACCTGGGTTGCGGGCACATCCCCAGTGGGAGATGTGCAGGAGGCAGCTGATCGATGTTTCTCTCTCATCGATGTTTCTAACTTTCTATCTCTCTCCCTTCCTCTCTGTGAAAAATCAATAAAATATATATATATAAAAAAAGAAAGTATTATATAGGTCCTCCTTTTCGCCCCATTAGCCTCTTCCAGCCGGCTCCTGTTCCACACCCACCCCCAGGCCCTCACCACCCCATTGTGTCCACGGTTTGACATAGCATATTTTAAATAAATACTATTAGAAGCTTCATCTACCCCAAATTAATGAGTCATTAAAAGTTAAGAGCCAAGAATTATGTTTTCTCACAAAGCACTATCTGGTTTTTTAAAAAATACATTCAAATGTCTATCAAAATTCTGTAGAATAAGCTTCCTAAATCATGGATCTCATGGAAAGAAGTTTAAGAAAATTATACACACAATTCCCTACATTTTTCTTTGAAATTTCCACAAGCATTCCAAAATGTAGTCACAGTGCCAGATGGTGTTATCATACGCCCGTTTCTTTATATACCTAGCACCCAATTTGGCAATGTACCCCCAAACTGTTTAATAAATGCATTTTGATATCTATTTGGATTTGTAAACACCAGAAACAAAAGGGTAAACAAGGCCCCGAGAAAGGAAATCTTTCCTTGTCTTTGAGGTTATCTTCATCTCCCATCTAAATGCCAGTCAGGTAAGGCTGCTGGAAAGGGGCTCTGAAATAGCCGAAGAATTCCAGAGGCAGCAGCATGCAGGCTAGCACACTCTGCTGTTATACTCCTTATAATATGGCAGACAGAACCATGAACAGGCCTGGAGCATGAAGGTCATGCTGCTGCACCATAAAAAGGTCAACCTTGCCCAACTGGTATGGCTCAGAGATTGAGCATCAACCCAGGAGCCAAGAGATCCCCAGTTCGATTCCCAGTCAGGGCACATGGCCAGGTTGCAGGCTCAATCCCCAGTAGGAGGCGTGCAGGGGGCAGCTAATCAATGATCCTCTCTCATCATTAATGTTTCTTTCTCTCTCTCCCACTCCCTCTCTCTCTCTCTCTAAAAAAAAAAAAAAAAAAGAGGTCACCTTAATCTTAATCTCTTTATGGTAGGAAGCACAATTGATAAAATACCACCAAATGTTCATTATATTCTCAAATAGCTACTTTCTAGTAGAATACAATAGCCTAATACATATAAAATACTATTTGGTTACACAATATATTAATTTAGAACATGTTAGAATCCGTTGTTTTTATGAGTTTGGCCCACAAATAAAATTACTAGTCTACCCACTTCAAAAGAGAATAAATATGGAAAATCAGTAGTATTTGCTACTTATCTGCCATATGCTGTTAATTATAAAAATTCCCTTTGGACACTCATCCTAATGTAACAATTAAGAAAAAGTTAATTTATCAGGTTATCTCTAGTTATTTCTATACCACGGTAGTTCAGTTTCCTAATTTTCTGTGGATTTTTGAACATTTCCTACAACCTGCATGTATCACTTATCTCAAATATTTCCCAGAATATTTTATAGTTGTTGTGTTTTTTTAAGTCTAGCAGGTCAGTATGACCTGAATTATTCAGGTCTGTGACTGAAGCCTAGAGCCATCTATTAATACCGATGTAAACAGATCAAGGAGCCTTGAAAGGCACAACACTTTGTCCTATATCATTGTTTCTAACTCATCCTCAGATAACACAGCATTTACTGAATTGTCACAGTGTGTTGGCTCAAGTACAGAGTGTAATGGAGACACACAGATTTATTTTGGACTTTATAAGTCCTGAATTGAGCTTTTCCTATTCATAACTAATATAAAATGAAGCAAAATGTTACCAGGTTACTCTTTGCCTGGAAAAGGCATAATTTTAGGGCATTTATTGAGAGCCGCCTAGCTTAAGACTAGCTTGGATAGCCTAAGACTAGCTTGGATAGCCTAAGACTAGGTTGGAAAGCCTAAGACTAGGTTGGAAAGCCTAAGACTAGGTTGGAAAGCCTAAGACTAGCTTGGATAGCCTAAGACTAGCTTGGATAGCCTAAGACTAGGCTGGATAGCCCAAGACTAGGTTGGGTAGCCCAAGACTAGGTTGGATAGCCTAAGACTAGGCTGGAAAGCCTAAGACTAGGTTGGGTAGCCTAAGACTAGATTGGATAGCCTAAGACTAGGTTGGAAAGCCTAAGACTAGGCTGGATAGCCTAAGACTAGGTTGGGTAGCCTAAGACTAGATTGGATAGCCCAAGACTAGGTTGGGTAGCCCAAGACTAGGTTGGATAGCCTAAGACTAGGTTGGATAGCCTAAGACTAGGCTGGAAAGCCTAAGACTAGGTTGGGTAGCCCAAGACTAGGTTGGGTAGCCTAAGACTAGGCCTAAGACTAAGTTGAATAGGTTAAAATAAGGAGCTAGGACTCAGAAGACAAGTCTTTACATCTGCAGTGAAATCAGGTTTAAATCACATGTTTTTCCATCCTGTCCAAGTAAAGTAACAACATGGGCTGATGATAATAAACTGGGATGTTGGGACAACCCATTTCACAGTGTCACTGTAAGGATACAATGATACGGTGTATGAGGAAAGAGCTTGCAAACTTTAAATATTACAGAGATGTTATTAACATTGCCTACAAGACTTTCAGCTTCTCAGGCCAGGGAGTATAATCTGTCCATTTTCTTAAAACTATACCATACCTGTCACAACTATAGGTCTTATGAAAAGCCTCTTACTTTTTATAATGGGTCATAATAAACTGGGGTGCTTCCCTCTTCTCTTTTCTTTTGGTCCTTGGAATAAAACGATTTGTGATATGTGTGTTTTATAGCAGACATTGCCTGTATGGGATATTTTGATTTTTTTCTCAATCCTTCTCTAGTTCACAGACCTAGTATTTAAACATACTAGGACTTGAATATCCTGAGAGATATGTAGGAAAAATAAAATAGATGGAAAGTTAGATATACTCAAGGAAAACTGAAAGTTAATTTTTTCTTATGTTTCGAGGTCCATGATTCTTACAATAAATGCTTAATTTAATGAATCTATGAAGAAATATTTATAACAGGCTTGCTATGCACCCCCTGATGTGCTATATAGGGTCTCCGTCATGTTCAAGAGTATTCTGAAGGATTTTATGGTATATTTGTGGAGTGAAGACTTTTGTAATAGAAACAGTTCAAGTACAGGGTATTTGGAAAATAACAATCCCTTTGGAAATGCATTAATCAGTAACTGGGATTTATAGGAACATGTAGACAAGATCCATTTGTAAATCAAGGTCCGGACACTTATCCTGTAAAGGGCAAGGCAGTAAATATTTTAGGCTTTGTGAGCTAGACAGTCTCTGACACATTATTCAATTCTGATGTAGTTCAAAAGCAGCCATAGACAGTGAATACGTGAATGGATGCAGCTGTGTTCCAATAAAACTTTATTCACAAAAAGAGCAGGCATGATGAATTTGGAGCATGAGCCATTATTTGACCACTCCCATTATGAAGAAATTCTCCCAGCTCTTTCTATAATTGAATAAATGTTCAATATGCACCTTTTATGTCTCCAGGGCATGCATCAATCACCCTTGACCTTTGTAATACGTCACCTTTGACAACGGAAATGGCGGCCACGACCAGATTCTTCATTCCTTTAAGGCTGAAAATGAAGGTACAGTACAAACGTGAGGTTCTGGAGATGTTCTCTCTGGAAGAAGTGACAAAGTGAGATAGCTGGGAATCTGGGTGCCAAGGTGCCATTCTTCTTGAATCACCCTATATAATGCAGACCAACAATTAATTCAATGTGGAGTGAGGAATGTTACAAAGGAGTTCCAAATTGTAACTTGAACCTCACATATAGAACACAACTATTTACCTGGCTTTCTGTAGAGCTGACTTCTTCAAGACTTTCAAAAGCCAAATAGGGCAGGATCAGAGAAGAAAATGATTGAGTGTTATATGAGAGAAAGGAATATGTGTACATATATACACGTGTGTATGTGTATGGGTATACATATATATGAAAAAGAGGTCGATCGATTTGGTTAGGATGGAAGGAGAAGGAACAGTATACGCATATTGATTCAAAGTGCTTCACTACCTGCCAGTGCTCTAACACACCACACAGATGATATACTAACACCCTTACAGGGTTCATTCGAGGCTGGAATAATTTCTATTCTTACCTTCCTAGAATCTACATCTTTTTTCAGTCAGCTCATGCTAATATATCTGGCCGAGACTCAATGTGGTTTTGGGGCAAGGTTGAAGCAGCCACACACTGGAGCTCTACATAGCTCCTTGACTGCTAAAAAACACCGAATTTTCATATTACACTTTTTTTTCTTTTAATTCAATGAGAATGTAACCCATTGAGGGCTCTGAATGGTTGGTTGGCATTTCCATTAGATAATCGGACACTATTAATTTGAAAGGTTGTTGGTAGTAAAAAAAATCTAGAATCTTAATAGGGGTCTTAATAAAATATTAGGCAAATATTTTTTTAGAAAGTTATATATCATAAGTAAGTAAAAATTATTCTTCCTAGCAAGTTTCTTTACGCTGCCATTTTTAAACTTTTAACAAAGAATTCTAAGATACACTAATCAAGGTGTTTTAGATTAATTTATTCAGTATGTAATAAATCCACCAGATCAAGAAGTACTGATTAAACACATATTATGTGTATGACATATGCTGGGCCTGGGGCTATGTGATAAAGACGAAACTATCTCTTCCCAAGCTTAGACTCCAGGGACAAATCCAGACAAGCAAGCAGGTCTGCCCACAGGAGTAGGTTAGAAATATGCAAGGAACAAGAGATTGAGGGGAAGAGGTTAGATTTGTACTCAAGTAACATTACTGAAAGGTAATATTAGATATATGGCTCATAATAGCTAACAAATGCCATCAGAATTTAAAGGGGAGGATGCTATTTTATAAAAGAGCTGGATGTGATCAAGGATAAGATCATGGAAGAGATAGAATTTAGAAAAATGAAGACTTAGATGACACTGGCCAGTATGACTCAGTTTGTTGAGCATTGTCCTGTGCACCCAAAGGTCACCAGTTCAATTCCAGGTCAGGGTACATACCCGGGTTGTAGCTTCAGTCTGTGGGGAAGGAGCCGATCAATGGTTCTCTCTCTCTCCCTTTCCCTTCCTCTCTCTCCAAAAAACCCAATAAAAACAATTAAATAAATAAAAAATGAATACTTTGGTGGGGACCAGAGAAAGGTGAAGACATAGCATAGCATCAGTTAACATAGAGAAGCGGTGACATGCAAATTCATGTCTCAAATGAGATAAGTAATCCTGTTTTGGCCAGATTGCTTAAACAAAGGAAACTCAAGAGTAGATGAGTGAGAGAGATATGGCTAAAGAAGGTATAGTTGCGTCATATTGGGGAGGGTACTGGAAGCTAAGCTGAATCTATTTTGGGATTTTTCAAAATTCCTGCCAACAATTGTAATTCATTGTGATATATTTTAATCAGCAAAATAAAATCTGTACTTAAAGATTACCGTACAACTGCAACTCATCGTCTGTTCCCTTAAACCAATCCCCCACATGTTTCTCCCCAGTATACTTCGTTATTATAACACACCTATTTACACCATCATTTTTCGAGAAAAGTAGATATTCAGACTTGAACTCTTAGCGTTACCGTCCGTGCTTCCTTTCCGATGGTCCTGACATCTAGAAGACACTGTTGGAAAACATAAACATCATGTGCATATGAGTACTGCTACTTGGGAGGCAATATTGCATACTGTAATATGAATATTTCTTGTTTCAGCTCTGTGATGGCCATTGGTTGTTTTGCCAGTGCCAGGGATCAGGAACCCTTCTAATTCCCAAACAGAAAGCTGTTTAGCCAATGTAAAAAACAGAATGTGTGATCACTGCTCTTTTCCTCTCTTGAAATCACTGGTGGCTTTAATCGGACAAGTGAGCGACGCTTCGAGCTGTGGAATGCTAGAACTGGAAGGGGCCTGTGTCTGACCCCCCTGTATTTTCGTGGAGCAAAAGGAGGCTCAGAAAGGGGAAGTGACCTGCCTTAGGAGACACAGATAACTTTTTCTACACCCAGGACTAGAACACACATCTCCTAGATTCTAGTGTTTTTCTTACATCAAAAGTTACATCTTACCCAATCTCATTAGCTTTAAATGATCTTAAAATGTAGAGCACCAGTGGCTCCCAATGGATCACTCTGCAGCAGGGCTTCTCAAGTGCAGCACTACTGACATTGGACCAGACCGTTCTTTGTTGTGGGGGCTTCCTGTGCGTTGTAGCGTGTTTGCCGGCATCGCTGAACTCTACCTACTAGATATCAGCATCCTCACCCCCCGGCCCCCCTTGGTTATGACAACCAAACATGTCTCTAGACCAGCCGTGGGCAAACTACGGCCCGCGGGCCGGCTCCGGCCCGTTTGAAATGAATAAAACTAAAAAAAAAAAGACCGTACCCTTTTATGTAATGATGTTTACTTTGAATTTATATTAGTTCACACAAACACTCCATCCATGCTTTTGTTCCGGCCCTCCGGTCCAGTTAAGAACCCATTGTGGCCCTCGAGTCAAAAAGTTTGCCCACCCCTGCGACAGTGCTGAATGAACCCTGGGCCAGGAGGAGGGGGACGATGTAGGAGGGGGAAATGTTATCACTGTTTTTGACACCCTAAACCCACCACTTTCCCCACCCCACATATACCTCTAGAATAATTCTTTCATAGCCAGTCTGACTGAACCTAAGGTTCTCTTTCCAAAAATCTAATCCCTGTAACCTGACAGCACAAGGTCTTCCACCGGTGTTCTAGTTTCTCTTGCAGTTGGAATCTAGTTTACTCCCATCACTGGAATCTAGTTTTTCTAGATTAGCCATGGTCATAGGTCCTGTCCTTATCTACTCCATTCATTATTTCAGCACCTACTATATGCTAGATACAGGGCACTGGGCACAGACGTCTCTCTCTGGTCTTCAGTAGCCCCGTCCAATCTTCTGGGGGAGACAAATACGTACATGAACGCCTGTCAACCTTAAGATGAGTGTTATGAGAGAGGTATGTGCAGGGTACTACACAATTAGGGACTATATTTCATTCACAGTGAAGGTGGTCACAGGAAGTGGCCGAAAGGAAAGTGCCAGCTAAGCCAGTCGTAGCTTCAAGGACAAATCAGAATGCACTAGGTAGAGAAAGGAAAAGGCTTGCGGCAGAGGGAGTAGTGTATTGAAAAGCAAGGAGGAAGAAAACCTGGCTTCTGGCTATAGCATCAACATCGGGTGAGGAATGAAGCTGGAGCAGAAAAGCAGGGGCCAGGTCTTGAGGAGCCAATTAAACCAGGCCAAGGAGTCTGCAGTTGATCTTGAAGGTAACTAGAAGCCGGGAGAGTGCATCGACCTGGCAATTTAGAAAGACCTGAGGTGCAGAAAATGACCAATATGGGGGCTTCAAAGCAGGAGCTCAGGCCCCCCTCAAGATAAACATCTGATGTACTGTCTAGTAAAAGAACAATCGCGCCAGATTTCACCCTTGTGCATCTCAACGTGGGAGGGATTCTTGTCCCAGGAGCATGGCCACAAACGGGCAAGTTCCACAGAGGGACACCCCCTTCCTCCACTGGGCAAAGGGACCCTTTAATCACCAAGGCAAGAAGAAAAACCCTTTCCTCTGGCATCTAAGACTTCACAGAGAGGCTGATTTCCCGATGGAAATTCAAAACACCATACTTTTCCCAGAAAGAAAAAAACAGACGAAGCTTCCTATTTTTAAAGATATGGTTTGGCTAATTTACGGGTCAAAGGAATTTTGCACGCCTGCGTATTTGTGCACTGGCTGTTGAACAGCTCGTCGTGTCTATGGGAATATGAATTTCAGGTTGGCTTTCAGAACACAATCCATTTGCCAGCCGTGAACTGTGCATGCCTTCGCAGGGAATGTCTGAGCAGAAATGACGGTAATAAAATGCACTGGACAAGCTGTGATGAGAGCTCTTCCATAAAGAAGGGAGTCCAGGGCCATCGAAGAGCAATGCTGCTGACTGACCCCACATAAGATGCAAATGGAAGCGAACGCTAGGCTGTCCAGGCCCTGCCGGGGCTAAGCGGGTCTGCATGCTCTCTAGGGCCTGCCACCTAGCAGGTGAACCCTCAGCGCTCGGAAAAGTGAGGTGGGTACACGGCAGTGGCTCTCCAGGCCCACATACCTGCTGGTTCGATGAGGCGCAAGAAAGCAAGGACGAGACAGGCAGCATGGACTTGCCCAGGACGGTGAAGTAAGCTAGTAAGTCCCTCTCTCTTAGGCGCAGAAGCCAGTAGGAACACAAGGTGACTTCACTTCATAATCAGGTCAGTAGAGGGGACCAACTTAAGTAAGTGAATGTGAGGCCCATGGCCTGCTGTGATTTAAGAGCTATTTGTAGCTGAAACATGGTGGCCTTCTTCCTTCTGACTCATCCATTACTCAGAAGGCCCTAGCTTCCTAGAATTCTTCACGAAATTCCAATCGTGAGGGCCTCATTTTGCGTTTTCACTACTGACCTGATCTATCTCTTGCCTCTCCCGGTGGCAGCAGGCAACTTTTCCTTCTTAAAGCTGTGCTGTGATGAAGCTACGGTCTCTTTTCCAAAACCTTCTCACCACCTCTCAGACACCTGCAGAATAAAG